CTTTAAAAAACCAAATATTTTAAAATGGAAAGGAAGTTTTTTTTTTTTTTTTTGAAACAGGGTCTCCCTGTAGCCCCACCAGTCCTGGAACTCACTATGTAGACCAGGCTGGCCTTGAACTCACAGAGGTCCGTGTGTGCCACCACGCCTGGCTGGAGATCTCTTTTAAAGGTTGAAAACTCATTCAATTTTATGTCTTACAGCGTTTATATTGAGTTCAATATTGTATAACTGTATTAATTCAACAGTGAACCTAAAAATTTTATAGCCACTTTTGAAAGAGATGTGTCTTTGCTCTGTGCTCTGGAAACTGTTATTGACTATGTTAAAGCTGTAATGAAATGCTTCTTCTAAAAACAAAAAGGGCACCTGACGTTTTCGTTTTGTGTTTCATTAGGGGAATGAGCGACAAAGTGTAATTTTGAAATTTACCTTTAATGTGTTTAATTTTGAACATTTCACATTCATTTATATAAGCCCTATTTTTAACAAAGCAATATCTTTATGGTCTTATTTGTGTCTTTTACTTATAACATAACTTCATTTTGTTTTTGTTTTTTTGTTTTTTGAGAGTGAGTCTCTCTGTAGCCCCACTGGCCTGGAACTCTATACTATATAGTCTAGGCTAACCTGAAACTCATACTGATCCTCTTGCCTTAGCCTTCAGGGTGTTGGTATTATAGATGTGTGCCACCTTGCTTGGCTTTATTTCAGTATTGTAGTTCTGTAAGGAATGCAGAGTTATATCACTACATCAGGGTTATTTTTTTTAACTCCTTCCAATGTTAGTACATGTGTTACTTTTGACTTTTAAATGCTTGTATAAAATTTTTGTATCCATGCATGTGGACACAAGAAATTGAAGTCAGATGTATTCTGTATTCCCTTTCCACTTTGTATTTTGAAGTAGGGTCTCACTGAACCTGGAGCTCACTGATCAGGCCTCATTGGCTGGCTGCTAAGCTCTAGGGACCTGCCTGTCTCTGCCCCTCCATTGTGGGGTCATAGCTTGGGCCACCATGCCTGCCTTTTTACGTGGGTGCTAGATATCTGAAGTCAGGCCTTCGTGCTTGCATGCTAAGCACTTCACTTAACGAGCCATCTCCCCAGCCCCTTATATCTATTCTAATATGAATTTTTTTGTAGTTGAGTAATTTAGAATTTTAATTATTTTGTGTAGTCTATCCATCTCATCTTATTCTACCTTTCCTTATCTTTCCCTGAAACACAGTTTGTTTTGTGTCAGATGTTTTTCTCTTTGAACCCCTTAAGTAAAGATAGAATGACAGCATAGCTTCTATGGAAATTACTGGTATTTCATTTGTATATTATGGTGTTGGTAACAGGAAATGTGATTTTTCTGCCCATTTCTTGTAACCAAGCCTTAAAATAACTGTTATTAAACACTTTTACTCAAAGTTTCAGTTCAACTCAACTTACAGATTTTGAGTTTCTAGCATGTAAAAGCACTGTAGTGTTTTCACATTTATGAGAATCATGATCATGCTAAAATGTTGTAATGTTTATTGACTTCATATAGACGGTTCACATCCACTTTATATCATTGATAATGGTCCTTGTGAGGTCCACGGGCACATAGAGAAACTGCTGATGAGCCATGTTCTTCTTTTATCATGTCTCTCCACTACAAGAGAAGCTGGGAAGGGTCATACCCTGTCTCCCAGAAGTACTACATGGTCAGGGACTTTTCTTTGGCACAGGAAACTAAACAACAGCTAAATATCCCTTGAATCTACCCTTCCAAAGGAGGACTCATGAGCAACAACAAAAAAGGTTAGGGTGTGGCTCAGTGGTAGAGCAGTTACTTAGCATTTGTCGGCCTCGTGTTTCATCCTTAGCACCACACATGCAAAATACATCAGAAGAAATAAAATGGGAATGATAGGCTGAGTGTGGTAGTGCACGTCTTTAATCCCAGCCCTCTGGAGGCAGAGGCAGGTAGATAGATCTCTGTGAACTTGAGAGCAGCATAACAAGTTTCAGGCCAGCTAGGGCTACATGGAGTCCTTGTCCTAAAAATCAAACAAACAAAATGACAAAATAAAGCTGGAAAGAAGAAGGAAGCATTTCTTTAGGAGGCAGTGAATAGGGCACGTTGTGACACTGCTAACTTACAGACAGGGCCTCTTCAATCCTGTGAGGAGACTACAGTGTACGGCACGAGTGTTCAAATGTTCACATTAAGTGGCAATTGGTAACACCTGGAAGAGGCTCTGAGACTAGAAGCAGGATGCCCATGAAGAAACAGCTTGCTCCAACTCGGCTCTCCTGGAGTACACATCCTCACAGTAAAGATGACCCAAAGATTAAGATAACCATAAAGCCATCTTGTGGGGATAGAGTCCAGCAAGGAAAGGAGCTGCGAAAATACAACTTAATAAGATGCATATGGAGAAATTAGTTTAAATTACTGCACATGATAGTTTGAACAAAGAAAGGTCTAAGTATAAAGTATTTTACATGGAGAAGCACAAGCAGAACAGTAAAGTCGCCATGGAGTACTCCTTCTGCAGGGGTCCTGCTTGTCAGGTGAGAAGCTGGTGTTTTCACCCATCCTGATGTGCTTCAGGAACAACTTCATAGTAGTGCCCTCACATGTTCTGTCCCTTTGGATTCATACCATAGCACAAATAAGTAAGCAATTAACTCTAGGATCTTCTGACACCAGCAATTTCAATGAATATATTAGGAATGCTAGTGTTTTAGAAGTATAAATTAATAGATAATCAAAGTGGATATTTTCATGTCTTTAAAATGTGTAACTTGGGCTAGTGAGATGGCTCAGTAGGTCAAAGGCACTTGTCCCTAAGCCTAATGACCTTAGTTTGATCCTTATGATACACATGGTGGAAGGAGAGAACCTATTCCTGAAAGCTGTCCTCTGACCTCACGCATAAGCTGCTGCACATGTGCACTTCCCCTACTCAATTAAATAAATAAATAAATTGTAATTTTAAAATTTATAGCTTATTCATAAGTAGGTCTTTTCCTCTCTAAGATTGGATTATTTTTATTAGTATTAACAGCTTTGTGAAGTTTATGATCTCATATATTATGCCATAATTACTGTCTATTATTTGAATATATTTTTTTGAGTCAGGAGGTCTCACTGTTTAGTTCTACCTATATTGGAGATCCACCTGTCTCTGCCTTTTCCTAAATATTTGTGGCAAAGTAGAGATGACACATCTAGCATCTGTAGGGGAAATCCAAATCTTTCTACACAGAAGTAACAGGTGAACCAATTGTAGCAGAATCAGCCCCTCAAAAGGGCACAGGACACAGTTGGAAGAGATGGGCACCTGTTCGGATCTAGTCTTAACGATTTTTCCCCCTTTTTTGTGTGTGCTTTTGTGATGAAATGTATTAGTTTTGTTATTGTTTCTCACCCCCACCC